CTACACTCAGCTAATTAATTTTTTTTTTTTTTTTTGTATAGATAGGAGTCTCACTATGTTGCTCAGGCTGGTCTCAAACTCCTAGTCTCAAGTGGTCCTCCTGCCTCAGGCTCCTGAAACACTGGGAAAGAATTTGAATTTCTCAGGTGGTTTTCCAAATGCTCCCATGGTCACAGTCTTCTCCCTCCCCTCTATCCTCTTACACATAAAAGATTAAAAAATGTTTTGGAGAGTTGTTTCCATTGTATTCTTGCCATAACTGGGAGGGGAGGGCACACTGATTTTTGGTTTACTGTAACAGAAGATTCCCAAGAGGGTCTCTGTCAAGGCTTGGGGGACAGGGGCGGGGAGTGTATTTATTGAACAAGCAGGATGAGAACACACAGCACACCACGCAGGTGGGAGGATGCGGAGTTTCCCGTGAGAACAGGGACAACTCTTTCCATGGCATCACTATCAATCCGTGAGGTAAGAAATCATATCAAACACAACATATTGGCTTCCTAGTTTTAGGACAGACATTTCTACTTTTGAATTATTTAGTGATTTTCTGGTACTCGTTTATTTTCTCTTCACGTGTTCAAACTGAACTACTCCTTCATAGTTAATTAGATTGTTAATGTAATTAACAATGTTAATTACATTGCTCTAAAAGGCATCCCCAAACAGCATCTATGCTTTAGTTCAAGTTCCTCAAACTTCTTAAGGTAGCATTAGTCTACCTTACTTCGGTGGGCTCACGCCTGTAATCCCAGAACTTTGGGAGGCCGAGGTGGGTGGATTACTTGAGGTCAGGAGTTCGAGACCAGCCTGGCCAACATGGTGAAACCTCCTTTCTACTAAAAAATACAAAAATTAGCTGGGTGTGGTGGTGGGCGTCCGTAGTCCCAGCTACTTAGAAGGCTGAAGTGAGAGAATTGCTTGAGCCTGGGAGGCAGAGGTTGCAGTGAGTTGAGATCATGCCACTGCACTCCAGCCTGGGTGACAGAGCAAGACTCAGAAAAAAAAAAAAAGAGGCCGGTGCGGTGGCTTACGCCTGTAATCCCAGCACTTTGGGAGGTCGAGGTGGGTGGATCACGAAGTCAGGAGATCAAAACCATCCTGGCTAACACAGTGAAACCCCGTCTCTACCAAAAATACAAAAAATTAGCTAGGCTTGGTAGCCAGCGCCTGTAGTCCCAGCTACTCGGCAGGCTGAGCCAGGAGGCAGAGCTTGCAGTGAGCTGAGATCACACCACTGCGCTCCAGCCTGGGTGACAGAGCGAGACTCCGTCTTAAAAAAAAAGAAAAAAAGAAAAGAAAAGAAAAAAAAAGTCTACCTTACTTCTCTTTAACTTCTAAATACACTATAATATTTTTTGAATGATCAAAGAAAAGAGCAAGGACACGAGAGGAAATGAAAACGATAAAATCTTGTTAGATTCGTGTATTTAAGTGTAATTTTCTCCCATTATGAATAGTGGCTCAAAAATCAAAATTCCTTTTTCAAACACATTTTTCTCTCGAAAATGTGAACAGTCACATTCCCTTCAGAACAATTAAGCAGCAGCTTCTATGAGATACTGGGAATCATGTGATGGAAAGTAAACCTCAATCTCACCAGTTCTTAGTACCCGCAGACTCACAGAATGGCCATCAGAAAAGAGCCCCAAACAAAATGAATCCCCGAAAACTGTAAAATCAGGGGGTGACTGCTTGAGACGGAAGCTCTGCATTTATGCCCAATGAGAAAACAGATATAATTTATATTAACACATTTCACCTCAAAAACAGATGCTGATCACTGAAATTACACTAGATTTCCACAGCTGATTATTAAACCACATTATTCAAAACCAATCTATTCTGGCCACTGTTAAAGGTTTATACTCTCTGTGAATAATGTAGGAATATGCTAGCAGTATGAAAGAGATTTTGTGAAACTGTTAACGCTAATTACAAATGATGCTTCTAGTAAATAAAGCTGGCCTCCTTAAAACTCACTTAAATGTTGGCGTCCTAGTCTTTCCTTTATAGAATTAAATTACAATTGCTTTTAAGTCTATAAATCAGTCTGTTTGTTAATTCACATGGATTTTTCTTTCCCTAAAAACAATTTATTTATTTATTTATTTATTTATTTATGAGACAAAGTCTCATTCTGTCACCTAGGCTGGGGTGCAGCCCAGGAGGTTCATGCCTCACTGTAGCCTCAACCTCCCAGGCTCAGGTGATCCATCCACCCCAGCTTCCCTGGTAACTGGGATTACGGCACATGTCACCACGCCCGGCTAATTTTTTATAGTTTTTGGATAGGCGGGGTTTCACCATGTTGCCCAGGCTGGTCTTGAACTCCTGGGGTCAACTGTGAGCCAAGGCACCCAGCCATAAACAACTTGAATGAGAAAATTACCATAATGTCTAATGATAGTATTGGTCCCACTAGTGACATCAAAGAAAAATACTAGCAGACATCAAATTGTTATATTGTTGAGTGCAAATGCAGGAGTAAGTTTTTAAACTTCCAGACATGGTTCATTTACTTATAAAATGATGTATTTATTTGGAAATAAGAAATTATGCACTTAATAATAATGTTCACCCCAATCTGTTCCTTGATCTAAGAAAAAAATACTATTCAGCATGAATAAGGACAAAGGAAAGACCGAGGGTATGGTTTTCACATTCATGTTACTTATAAATTCATTAAGGTTTTGTAGAACTCAAATTCTAGGAGAAATTTGATGATACAATTACTGTATTATCAGGTTGCTAGGCAACAATCTTTTTCTTTCAAAACAGGAAATCCACTTAAGAGTGACAAAAAAAGATATTGAGCCCGATGGCACCACGACATTCAATGCTAGGGCCACTGCAGCTCCGTCTTTTTCTAAGACAGTTTCACTTTGCCACTCTGACTGAAAGCTTGATTTTTCACACTTCTGCAGCCGGATTTCCCTGCACCCCTGTCTGGTGCTCACAAGTGCCAGGCACCATTCTCAATTTATTTCATTGAATTCTCACCAGCACCCTGGGAGGTGGACAGTAACTTTGTCCTTCCTGCTGCGCTGAGGAGGCAACAGAGACCCTGAGACCTGAAGCCACTTGCTGAGGCCACTCACAGCCTTTTTGGACAGAAAAGAAAGGACACCCTAATGGTGTCATTTCAGGGAGCAGGGAGAAGAGTCTGGGATAGTAGGGGGAGAAGAGGAGAAGAGCTTTGGCCAAACTCTGGACAGGCTGGCCCTGGGGATCTCCCTACGATTATCCACTACCATGAGAACTGCTGGGGAGACCCACGTTAGTGCGTGCTGGGCAGGCCTACCCCTCCATGGTGACCAGGATGCCAGGTGCCCCTGCCATCTCTGAAACTAGTCAGATCTGATTATTCCCAACCTCACCCCATCCCACCCCTCGTCTCTGGGTTGTCAGCAGACTACAAGGTAGAGGCACCACTGTGACAACCAGCAGCCTAGCCTCCATAAAGGAACACAGGGCCCAGGTGAGGTGGGTGGCTCCCACCTGTAATCCCAGCACTTTGGGAGGCCAAGGCAGGTGGATCACCTGAAGTCAGGAGTTCAAGACTAGCTTGACCAACATGGTGAAACCCCGCCTCTACTAAAAATACAAAATTAGCCAGGTGTGGTGGTGGGCACCTATAATCCCAGCTACTTGGAAGGCTGAGGGAGGAGAATCGCTTGAACCTGGGAGGCGGATGTTGCAGGAGCCAAGATGGTGCCATTGCACTTCAGCCTGGGCAACAAGAGTGAAACTCTGTCTCAAAAAAAAAAAAAAGGAACAGAGCCCTGCTGACCACCCAGCAGGAGAGGTTATGGAAGGCTAGTGTCTAGCCACCCCTATGGACTGCACCATGCCTAAAGCATAAGTGTATGGGTTATCAAAGATAGCTTTTTTAGTTTGCTTTTGGGCCTAACAAGCATCCCTCGCCCCTTTGTCTAGCCACAGAACATTCTTTCCTAGACAAAGTGGTTTGGGCAAAATCCACTGTGTGACCCTCCTCCTTGACCCCATCTCAAGGCTCAGACCTGGCCAGTGTCTTCCATCCTCTGATGACAATAGTTGATTTAAGGATGACCACATGACCTGAACTGCCCCAGTCACAATCATCTCTAAAATTGTGCTATCCGTGCTGGCGGAAAGGCTCCCTCTTCCTCTACCACCTTGAGAACACCATCTAAAGCAGGAGGCGCTAGGAATCGTCTTTCCCTCCACGGGGGTGGGGGTAGGGGAAGTATCCTGCCCAAGAATGGAGCCAACATGGAACAAGACAGAGCCATGAGACGGACAGACTCAACCTGACAGCCTCATTTAGTTGCTTGGCTCCAGCAGGGCCCAAAGACCCTAAAGTCAGTGAGTTCCCTTTTTTTTTTTTTTTTTTTTTGAGACAGTGTCACTCTGTTGCCCAGGCTGGAGTGCAGTGGTGCAATCTTGGCTCACTGCAACCTCCACCTCCCGGCTTCAAGCGATTCTTCTGCCTCAGCCTCCTGAGTAGCTGGGATTACAGGCGCCTGCCACCACACCCAGCTAATTTTTGTATTTTTAATAGAGACGGGGCTTCACCATGTTTACCAGGCTTGTCTCGAACTCCTTACCTCAGGCGATCCACCTGCCTTGGCCTCCCAAAGTGCAGGGATTACAGGTGTGAGCCACTGCACCTGGCCAGTTCCCACTTTTTAAACAAATTAGTGTTAGATTTCTCTCCCTTTGCAACCCAGAGTCCCGACTATCTTCGTTTGATTCCTGTTAAAAACACCACAGGAATTTAATGCATAATGTGTTATGGAATAATTTACATTTTTTAACAAGAAAATTCATTTCTATTGCAAGGTTAAAAGATACAATTTTAAAAAAGAAAAAAGAATTAATTTCTGAGATAATCATGTCACAAGTCACGAGCTAATCTATGGGCATGTTTCTGCTTTACAATTTTAAATAATGAAAAATTACGTCACAATATTAAAATCATCACACGTGCAAGTAGTTATTTTAACTGTACATACCTTTAGGGAGTTCCGTATCTTGAACGGGATATTTGTCTGACTGTAGAAACCAACGAAAGAGGAGAGTTATTTTTAAATGCCATATAAGAGCAAAGTGAAAAAAAAAGCTTTGTCTTGGGAAAGTTATGACTTCGATTAAAAACTTGAACATGTTTAGCCTCAAACTTATCAACTAGCCTCATCCATTGATTGTATTTATTCTCAGCTGACAGGAATGAAAGCAAGGTTGACAAGAGGTTAATGCTGGAACATGAAACAGAATAAGCTTTCCAAATTTCCACAGCCTGGACCACAAAACTACACGTCCTCTCTTCTCTGCAGTGCTAGCCTCCAGCAGGTTACAATTGAGGAGCATTTGTTGTCATGGATTCTGAGGACAGGTGCCTTTCTCTCACCGTTTCTGCCACAGTCATTGGGCCACGCGTTCTGAGCAATACTCATCTATTGCAGAGCTCTGGCCTGGGCTGACTGAGACAGGATGATTCAAAAGATCCTTTTCTTACTGATTGCACAAAGCTCTAAAATTCAGCACAGTTCCTCCGTGTATCAGTTGAGAGTAATACTGTTACAGGAATTCAAAATAGCAAATGTTCTCACAATCACATATATTTCTTTTCATTTATTCATACTTCCATGCAGATATCTAAAGTTCCGGAAACTTATTTCAGACTAAACAATGTAGCCATTTCTGAAACCGTCCATAAGGGGAATGAAAAGGAGCCTAATTTCCCAACCCTGTCCCCTAACCCCTGCTCGGCTCCCAACTCCAGTCAGCCCCTGTCCTTCAGCCTGAACAAAATTACACCTCAACAATTTCCTGTAGGTCTCACCCATGTCTTCCTCTGAGAGAGGAGAGAAAGAAAGAAATGGAGAATCGAGGGTTTTGTTTTAAATGTCTTTCCTTGGAGTTTCTTTGGAGCTGGGCAATAAAGTTTCAGAACTTCTAGAAGCCTCCAACCTCAACCTCTCCTAACAAAAATAAATTAGTAAATAAAAGTTAATCACAAAGAATAGTCCTACAGTACTACCCCAGATCAAATTAGTTCTCATCATTCTATTCCCAAGACTGTGGAACACAAATCTGTACTAGAA